CAAGCGGCTCATTATTTGGAGTCTCCGACAATGAGATATGAACTTTTTTCCACAGACGTGCAAATCTGATTAATATAAAACGGCAGATTATGAACTGAAGTTTAAAATGTTACCTGAGGAGGTACAGAACGTATTTTGCTCTGATTTTTCTTATAACCGTATTCCTACGAGTTTAAAATCAAAAGGATCAAGCGGCTTGTATTTTTTATGCTCCTATGCCAAGTGCCAACATACAAATTTTTCTTTTGAGGAGCACAAGTTGTAAATAGATGCCGAAGCAAAAGGATGAACTGCAGAACCTGAGGAGGTACAAAACGTATTTTGATCTGATTTTTCTGATAACCGTATCCCTACGAGTTTAACATCAAAAGGATCAAGCGGCTTGTATTTTTGATGCTCCTATGCCAACATATAATTTTTTCTTTTGAGGAGCATAAGTTGTAAATAGATATCGAAGCAAAAGGATGAACTGCATAAAACCTTCATGAAAAGCGCTCTAGGACCTCTTCTATTTATAGAAGTGTTAAGTCATCTGTTTTTATATTGGTGAACAAGAACTTTCCTTTAAAAATAAAATTTGATTAGTAGTTGACTAGCAAGTCCTATATGAAAACTTTGAGACAAAATTCAAATTGGAGAAGAAGGTTGCTTGAATCGAAGGAGAGCTAACTTGTACTAATGGGTTTTGTTAGGATCGGGAACCTGGGTAGTGCGAAATTTAGCCAAATAATAGTATAATATAATAACAAAGACAATGAAAGTTGATAACAACGACAATTAAAGCGTATAAAGAAGACACAAATTTAACGTGGTTCAGTCAAAGTGACATACGTCCACAAGTGAAGAGGAAAAATTTTACTATACCAACAAGAGTACAAAAGAGAGTACAAAATTAGAGTAAATACTCTAATTAATCCCCAATACCCTAAGAGAATAACTTCACAAAATTACTCCAAAGAAAGGGTTCACACAAGTGCTTCCCAACACTAACTCTCATACAAAACACTCTTAATAAAGGAGGAAAGGAAGAAATAAGAAACGAAGACTCAAGTCTTGTTAGTGTGTCTAAAATAAACTAATGGCCCTTCCCTTTTATAGGTAAAATTTTTTTGGCCTCTTAGGTGTAAAAGAATAGATACAACTTGTACAAATGATGTCCATCACACAATACAATATTTTTGGGTCTCAAAGAATACTGCCAACAAAGTCTACACTTTGCAAAGATACTTATGCTTATTTGATATGGATTCCATTAGCCAAAATATTATCCATATTACGGGTTTCAAGTTGATTCTTACCAAATTTGGTAATCCACACCCATAAAGAGCTAGTTTCGAGCCGTATTATTTTTGGAATCTACTGCCTAGTTCCATATTGATGGTGCAATATGGATATTATGGTATTTACCAAAGAAAACTGACGTAACCAAATTCTTCTCAAAAATGGAGAGGAAAACAAGATTGTTCACCTTGGTATATCAGACAGTTTGGTTAAGGGAGTCATAAAGAGACGTTGTCTTCACTTGTACTTCAAGTCACCTCTTTGATTTTGGCAAGCCTACACTCCAACAAGCTTTGAAGTAGGGGGCATTTGTAGACGGTTAAAATTTTACTAAGTTTAAATTTATAATAAATGTGGATTTTATCATATATTGGTCCAACCAAATATTTTGAACTAGTATAATTGAGTTATTTATTTAAATCTAATTAAACTGATTTAAATAAAAGTCCAATACTATTGGACTAACCCATTTTATTGGGCTACCAAATGGATCGACTCATATAAAGCCCAAAGCTCAATGACCCATGAGGGTTTTCTTGGTGGCTACTCCACCACGTGTCTATATAAAGAGGCCACATCCCTCGGGAAGAAATCACAAGGCTGAAAGTACAACAATCAAGTAAGCAGAAGGAAAGGCTAAAGAAGCTCTGAAGAATAGTATCAAGGTCTCCATCCACATCTGCAATCTTCGTCTGTGGTCAAATCCCAAAGGCGAACGCAAATCATAAGCGGGCGGCTTCAATCCGTTCGTGATAACCCAACAACAAATCCTGGTTCGTGACGACCTTCAAATTGTTCGTGACGCACCACAAATCTGAAATCTGTCAAGTTCAAGATCAAGCTCTCAAGCTCTTTAACTTTCGTTCGTGAGGAGAAGAATCAGAGGACTACGTCTCTTTAAATTTGAGATATTCTAGAGATTGTAACCCCATCACTTGAAATTGAATATAATATTTGTCGTTATATTTCTTGTCTTGATTATTATTTTTCAGGAACGAAATTTAGTTGTTACAAAATACACAACAAATCACATTTCTAATAATTAAAAATATCCAATACTCATTGTCCTTCATTATCGTCTATTTGAACTATATATAATTTTATCTTGTGCTACTTTTTCATGCAACGAATTATATAGATAGACACTTTTATAAAAAAAAAAAAACTACAATTTAATGTTTTCATCATAAAAAAATTGTGTAGTTCGAGTATCAACTACAAATTAAGGGTTTTCAGGTTCTTTTTCTTGGAGCAAATTTTTTATATTAGTATTTAAATGCTGCATTTCATGTAGAATTATTTTAATATTTTTTTATATTTTAGGGCTTCTAAATTAACAATAATTTGTATGTTAAATCTATCCTAATCTTTTCTTTATTTTGGTAACTTTTGAGTACTTAGAACACCGGAAATATAGATGACTTTGGCACTTCAAATAGAAAGCTATGGAAAGTTCTTGATGAAGTTGTGGATTTTTTTTAATAGAAGTATTTGGTTATATAATTCAAAAAAGTGATAAAACTGTGTATAGTTCAAATAGACAAAGAAAAAAAGTTTATGAAAAAGAAAAGGAATCAATTATAATTCTATCATAAAGAATAAGGACTCTTAAACCTAAAAGAAGTTCCAAGTCGCTGGCAGACTACTTTAAATTAAATTTTTATTAATTTTCAGTGAAATAATAAAATTATAAAAAGGCAAAAGAAGAAAAAGGCTAAATCAAAAATAAAAAATAAAACATTATAGAATAAATAAAATATGAATAATAGATGCTCCTAAACCTAAAAGGAGTTTTAAGTACTCGATAGTTTGAAGATTATTCATGTATTTCCCACGGCTAAAAATCTTTTATTTTTATTTTTATCTATTTGTTTAATTCATACAATTAATTTCTTTTACACTTTTTATATTTATTTTTTCTAAATAAAATCTTTATTCAATTTTATCCAACACAGAATGCTTTTCAAAGGATCTTTGCTTTATTATTTCAAATTTATTTTGTTCCACATTTGGATACGGATATTTATACTTTTTTAAAAAAAATGAGTAAAGTACTTTTCTAACTATTTCAAAAATATATTTTTTAAAAATATAAATAATTAAATATTTTTTAGTCAAATCGAACTTACTTTTAAATGGCCCTGATAAACGAGAATTGGTTATAGCACACAACAAAACTAAAATATTACATCAGTGGGAATATTGAAAGAACATATAGCGTCAATAGTTCCGTTCAATGGTTATTTCAAAAATTATTATCATGCATACTAATTTATCGATCAAATTATTGTGTATAGTGTTACTTGTGTTCAAATAAGTAATTTTAAATTTTTATGTCATACCAAATTTTTGATTAATTTGTTGCAAGATTCAAAATTGGACCTTTTTACATCGTTCCACACATTAGTTCTTCTTCGATAATATTTTAATTATGATTTATCATATATTTTACATTTTCACTTCTCTTAGGATATACTATAGTAGTTTTCTTAAAATTTATCAATTGCAAGTAATTCATTTACAATCAAAAATTGTTTTTTTTACTACAAAGAGACAACAGTCTTTATGCATAAAAGGCTCGTAAAAATAAGGAGTCATTGAAGAAAATAAGCATAATTCTAGTTAAAGTTACCTTAATAGTTTGTTGTATGTAGAACTTTGATCTAAATTTGAAGTATGATCTTTATTTCCAAAGTGCATTTGTATATTCAAACAACTATTTATTTTTATAGCAAAGTTAGAAATTTGCTCCTGCACTCTCGTGGCTACGTTATAGTATCTTCATGATGTTATTGTCTTGAATTTTGATGCTAAATTTATAAATGATGTCATGTCTTACGTCTGAAAATACGTTTGAGCTATGATAATAACAAATGGGGGCTTGTCCTTGATTTCTATTATGCGTGACTTGTTGCACTTTTATTTTATAGCTCCAAACACAATATTTAATTTAATGCTTATGTGATTTAAAAAAAATATATTTATTGAGATCGTGTACACGCGCAACGCACATACCTGTAACCAGTGAAACTAAGAACCCATAAGAGCAATTATAAAATTCACCTCTCTTCATCTAAAGAATATTTATACATTATATTTCTATTTGGCAATCTGAAAATCCAAAAATATAGAATTTCTTACGATATTACATCACATATAGCTAGAGCATCTGTGCGATATATTAAGAAGATAAGATAAAAGAGGAAAAAAACATAAATATTCCAAACACACTCTTACCGTCAAATTTCACAAGCTACTCCTTTAAAATATACAACATCGGAGATGACTTTGGTCTCTCCTATGGATAAATCCACATAAACATGACGATTTGAAAATATTCACAATATTAGTAAAAGTGATAAATTTGTAAGAGTACATTTCTCACGAATGTTGTCCTCGCTAGCTGTTTACAACAAGATATTCTTTCGTGACTTGAATGTATTAATATTCAATGTCTTTATATGTTCATTAAATAATACCATTTGTACCTTTATGTCTATCGTATTTTTCAAAAAATATTTTCTTATAAAAGTTATATTTAATATTTTTCGCGCAACTAGCTAGTATAATTCATAACATAAACAATTTTAATAACTTTCTTTCTTTTAAAAATTTGGTGCGAAATAAAATCAAAGAGAGGAATCATGTATTTAGTCCTTAAAAGTCAAAGTCAAAAGAGAATAGAAAATAAGGAAAACGAAATTCCAGTGGCCGACGGGTGCTAACAAGTCCGACGTTCTACAAACGCTTTCCCCGACTAAATTTTGTGTATTTTATTTCCCCCATTTTAACTGCCCCCATTTATTAAGATCTCCCACGTATTCCCAACCTCTCTCTTCACTTTTTCTCCGATCCGGTACGTATTTGTATGTATATGTATAATATCTATCTCTGTACATACACATGAATCAAATTAATTACTTATATAAATTTATTTTTGTTCAAATTTTCAAACTTTGATTTTATCTAGGGTTTTTAATTCCTCTTCATCAGTTCCTGGATTCGTGAGGAAATCAAATGGCTGCTCCACCTGCTAGAGCTCGTGCCGACTACGATTACCTCATCAAACTACTCTTGATCGGCGACAGCGGTAACTATTTTGTTTTCTATGTTTATTTTTCTTTCTAATTCTTTTTTTAGTATATCCTTCTTTACATTCGATTATTTTGTAGTAATTCTTTTCGTTGATTCGTTCAAATTTTCTGGTGGTCTTGCAATGGAGATGGAATAAGTAGTTGTGTGGCTTGTTATTTCGTTAGTTCACTTGATTCTATTATCAATGAGCATTTACAGTCATTTGCTTGCTGTATTCTGATCTAAATAGTACTAAGTAAGAGCAGCGAAGAATTACAACTTAACAATTCTGTGTAATGATATCCTAGAACTTACTGGAGCTATTGAGCGACAAATACTGCTATAATGCATTACTGTATAGCACATAACTACTTATACATTTGCCATGCATGTGTTGTTTGTATATGAGGCACAGCAGATGTGAACTTACCAAATGACTACTTCTTGATCCTTCATGTGTTAGTGCTCCACTTCATAAAACAACAACCTTTTCCTCAAGAGTTGAGTGATGAAAACCTTGTCGGTGAATTATGGAAGTTCTCCAGGTTCTTCTCCTTCCCTTTATTCTCGAAGAAAGGTGAGATTCACATTCGGTTGTGAATTCCAATGTGGCAGGCATATATTTACACAAAACCAATCCCTTTTATCCTAGTCGGAGGAGAATTTACCAAACTTTTAGCATTGCTTACACTTTGGAACGCGTAAAATGTGCTTTTATGGCTCAATGGGCTCCCAACATCACATTGCGGTTTTGTAGTGGAAAGGATAAGAAGCCTGCAACACTCATTGGAATCCTTACAAGCCTCAAGTGGTTTGCATCACACTACCATTGGCTACTCTGATTGATTGAGGTGCGTCCTAGAAATTTTGCAGACAAGATGATGGACGAGTTTTAGATCATAAATAGAGAATATTCTTGATTAGATATCATGAATAGATGGAAACTGCATTTTAGGAGAAACTTCCAATTCTAGAAGATATAGAGTTGCTCAACTCATCCAGAGATTGGAGAATGCACCTAAACCAGGACCATCAGCAGTTGTTTTAATCTGGAAGGTAGAGAAAGATGGTTCCTTTTCTGTTAAATCCAGATCCAGCCTTTTGGGTAAGAAGTGGCAGCGGATGGCACTCGCCATGGAAAGGTTTGTGGAAGAACAAAGCTCCCCTAGAAGTGATGTGTCATACTTGGCTAGCAGTGTGCAAAGCTTGTCTCAGACAGAAGCTTGTTTCAGAAACCTTTTTATGCACTGCTCATATTCCTGGAAAATCTGAAACATTTTTCTAAGGCTAATGGGAATCAGTTGGGTGATGCCAGGAAGCATGAAGGAGATAATGAGTTTCTGAAGGGATCAAAGAGCACCAAAACAGCTGAATAATTTGTGACATAGGAGTACTATTTTCTTATCAGTAGGATATGTGGAATACTATACCGCTGTGCATTATATGACAAATTTGGAAAGAAAGGAATGCTAGACGTGTTGAAGGGAAGCCTACCACACTACATTATATAAAATTCATTTGCTTACGACTTTTTTTTTTCTTTTTGGGTGTAGTATGGAAGATTTAAATCATTTTGATGCGCTGTTGGACTTAATAGACTCCTTGTATCTTGGATAGAGTTAACACACCTCTTGTACTGTTTCACCACTTGCTTATTCTTGACTTTTTGTGAATAAAATTCTCCTTATCAAAAAAGAAAAAGAATGTTGAGGACTGGCTTATGCTGTTGGGAGTAGGGTGATGAGTACTTTTATACATACTGGTGTTAAAAGTGCACTGATTTGTGATGAATCTGAACTTGAATTTTGATACCAAATTGATGTAGCATTAGACGGAAGAAGAGAGAAAGGGGAGAAAAATTGAGAGAACTGGAAGAAATAGAGAGCGATCAATGCGTAAAGTCTTATTCCTTAAGTCAAGCATTTAACAAAATAGAGAAAGGCACTTATGTTGTAGAATGTGGAACCCTTGACAAGTCAAACTCTTAAAACAATTAGGACTCGATCCCAAACTAAAAGATAAAGACTACTACAAATTGATAGATTTAAGATAATCATAGTATCCTTTTTTCTTTCCTCGGATCCATCATTTGCATTGGAGAATTTTCAAAGTTCTTTTGTTGAGGATGAAGGTCGACAAATTGTGAGCATGTCAAGATGAGCTTCCTCTGTAGTCCCCTCCCCCCTACAGTTCTTTTGTTATTTCACTGAGCAAATAAATCAGTCGACGAGAATGTTAAAAAAATCTCCTTAAGAAACAGCATAATTGTACTCATTTGGAACAAGTTAAGGAACCACATTGCCACCGAGCTCAAACTTCAAAATCTGTTAGCACATGGTCTTCAATTCCATTTTTTCTGTGTCAGCATTTGTTCAATTTTCCATTTGAAGGTTGACTGCTGAGTAGAAACTGAGAACAGATCAACTGCTATTCTCAATCTTGGTTGATCAACTGGTTTTTTGAGATGATGAACACTCCGTGATTATTACTTATTTGGTTTTTCTGAATTTAATCAGGTACAACTTATATTTGAATTTTCAGGTGTGGGTAAGAGTTGTCTCCTTTTACGTTTCTCAGATGGCTCCTTCACCACCAGTTTTATCACCACTATTGGGTAGTCATCCTCTCATTTCTTTCTTGACATTCTACGGTTTTTATTTTCATATCTTGGTATTTTTCTTAAACTGCTTGTGCTTCAAACATAAAGAAACATATAGAGATGCAACTGATTAGAAGTGAAACTTCACAATAAGATAGGATTTCTCATTGAATAGCAACAGAGAACCTCTTAAACTTAAATGTAAACCACGAAAATGTTCAGTAACATGGTCTCCAGCAAGATTAAGAGTATTAATGGCCTCTATAAAGTATATATGAGTATTGATATTAAATGTTTTCTCTCTTTTTCTTTTTCTGCCAATTGATTCCAATGAAAAACTTTCTTTCACAGTATTGATTTCAAGATAAGGACCATAGAACTTGATGGCAAACGAAT